GCTACGAACCTCATGTCTCGTCTTTTAGAGACCCACGACAACATAGGATAAGAGTTTACTTAAACGCTAACATACAATTCTCTGAAACTCTCTCCATTTTCTTTAACTTCTTGATCATCCGATGATACTTTTGATCTCCACTTCTTGTTGATAATGTTGCCTTCTTTAGATAAGTAGCGTTTGCTAGTATGTACGCAGCCACATTCATCTCTTGCTCTGTGCCTTCATATTGTCTCCATTCCAAGATCTCGAGATGCGTCGATAAACATTCCGGAACAGATGTTGGTTCGTTCCAGCAATTCCCCTGATCATTGGAACGAGCACTATGTTTCTGACATGGAAAAGGAGAAAAACATTTAGTGTGTTATTGTCATACTATTTTGTTTTTTGATGTCTGTGCACTACGTTTTACATACTAGTCAAACCCTAAAGTAAAAACAAAAATAGATACCGAGTTGAGCTTGAGAGATCGAAGCCTTGGAGCGTCATTGAGCATATACAAGAAAGTAGATTCCACCATCCCGCAGAACATGTACATAACTCTAGATGTTCAAGAAAGAAGTGCCTCTAGGATATTGAGTCTGCAATTGAATTATATATTGTTTACTGTAATGAGAATAACAAAACATAAAAGGAGAAACCTTGACGTTATTAGAGTAAGAAAGATCTTACCTTTGAAGTTACAGAACATAGAGAAAGATGTTGGATTGAAGTAAGAGATCCGATGAACTTCTCTGATTGGTCACAAATAACCTCGATATTCGCCTTGATCACCTCAGGCGTATATTCAAATATTAGAAAGTTACTGAATGTATCCTTAAAGTTCAAATTCCTCAAAGCAGGAACTTTATCACAAACCCATGAATGTCCTCAATGTTGGCGCGTTTCCCTTTCAGAGTTATCAATAGATAAGCTCGTCAAACTAGGCACATCGATATTGAATATCATCACATTGTCATCATTTGTTTGGTTTACAACCAAATATTCAAGTTCCAAGCAACTTTGTAAAAGACTTGCAGCACATTCCTCGCCCGAGAACTTAACCGAGAAAAGGTGTAGACTTTTGAGTGATGGCAAACTAAACAAAAGTGGAACCTTCTCGATACTTAAGAGCATGATTATAGGTAGTAAATATGATTGGGGTAATATATGAATTTTATAATATGAATTATATTGGGATTGATGAAT